GGATCCCATTTATTAATTGTTTCTCTCAGTGTCTGTGTTACTGGGGTTATATTTAGGAAGTGGTCTCCTGTGCCAATGTGTTCAAGTGTACTTCCCACTTTCTCTTCTATGAGGTTAAATGTAGGTGGACAAACAATTTTCTACTAAAATGTATATCTATCAGTAGAGTTTTCATGCCTTTCTTTCCTAAGCTGTCCTGAGGGAATGGTCATTGTTTGAATTCTGAAACAGAGTCCCAGGGCTTCACCCCTTCCTGGTACTGTGACCTTTAGAAAGCAGCTTAGCTACTCAGCATAGCTACTTCCTCATTTATGAAATGAGTTTCACAGCAGTGTGACAAGAACCAATGTCTCCTGCCAGACCTGATGGTGTAGGACTTTAGTCCCAGCACTAGGGAGGCAGAGGCTGGCAGATGTCTATGAGTTTGAGGCCAGCCTGGTCTACAAAGTGAATTCCAGGACAGCCAGGGATACACAGTGAGACCCTGTGTCAAAAACATAAAACAAAACAAAGAACCAGAGCATACACAGGGCAGGACCCAAACACTGTGGCCACCAGACCCAGAGAGAGGCCACGAAAGGCTTCCTGGAGGAAGGGTGGGGGAATCTGGGATTTGTGGCAATGATGAAATTACTTGTTGTTAGCCAGACTGTGGTGGTTGCACGCCTTGAATCCCAGCACTTGGGAGGCAGAGGCAGGCGGTGCTTTGTGAGTTCGAGGCCAGTCTGGTCTAAAAGAGCTAGTTCCAGGACAGCCAGGGCTTTTACACAGAGAAACCCTGTCTCGAAAAATCAAAAGAAAGAAAGAAATTACCTGTTGCCAAACTGCATCTCTAACACATGTACCAAGCAATGCTTTATGCAAGGCCTAGGTGAGTGACAGCTCACCCCTCAGTAGCATTGTGTTGGGGCACACACATGTGCAGATATGTCTGCACATAGTGGCAATCAGAGGGGGTCATAGGTCTTCCTCAATCCCGTGCCACTTTGTTTTCTGAGAAAGGGTCTCTCACAGAGTTCTGTTAGGCTAATGAACTCCATGGATTCTATTGTCTACTCCTTCAACCCTGAGTCTGGGGCTACAGACACGTGTTCCTACACTAAGTTTTTATGTGGGTGCTGGGATCCAAACCCAGGCCCTCATGCTTACACAGTAGGCATGTAACAGACACTAGGTCCTCATGCTTACACAGTAGGCATGTTACAGACCCCAGGTCCTCAAGCTTACACGGTAGGCATGTTACAGACCCCAGGTCCTCATGTTTGCATGGTAGGCATGTTACAGACTGAGTTATCTCCCTAGCTCCCAGCACTGTTTTTGGTAGTCATGAAACTTGTTAGGCATGGTGGTTCATGCCTGTAATCCCAGAATTTTGGCAGAAGAGGTAGTAAGATCATGAGTTCAAGGCTAGACTGGGTCATTTAGTGAAATTTGCTGAGGTCAAGCATGACTAAACAAGTTCTAATATAAAAAATAACTACAGGAAGAAAATCTGCATGATACAGGGAGCCCCTGGAGTCGCTCCTACTGCATGGTGTGCTCTGGGTTCCTGGGAATTGCACGGATAGAGCTGTGGAGCGTGCTGGGGGAAGCTGTGGTAAGTCTCAGCCAAGCCACGTGCTGTGCCCATGGAAGAGGTTACGAGAACCAAACCTTTAGAGTTTAGAGTATTTCTCCTGGAAGCCTCTCCCACTCCTGGGGGTTCGTTCTCCTTTTCCTTAATAAACCTATGTTCACAGTAAAAAAAATTCAATCATTAAATATTTTTATTTCATTTTATTTTATGTGTATAGGTGTTTTGTTTACATGGGTATCTGTATGTATACTACATGAACACTTCATGCATGAGGAGATCAGAAGAGGGCATCAGATCCCTGGAATTGGAGTTACAGATGGTTGAGAGCTGCCATGTAGGTGCTGGCAATTGAACCCGGGTCTTCTGCAAGAGCTGCCAGTGCTCTGAACCACTGAGTCATTTCTTCGCCCCAAGACTAAAACTTTTAATTCAAAACAGAATAAAATCAATAAAGTGCCTTGCTGAGCATAGAGGAGCCTGGGATGGAAAAAAAAATCACAAACTTGGTGTTGATCCTGTGTTTTTAAGTTTTGCTATTTTGTTCCTTGCAGATTTATATATTAATGTTGCTATCCTAGAATGCAATCTCAGGGCTGGGGAGATGGCTCAGCCATTAAGACTGCTTGCTGCTCTTGCAGAGGACCAGAGCTGGGCAGCTGACAACTGCCTGTAACTCCAGCTCCAGAGTATGTGATGCCCTCTTCTGAGCACCTATATGCGCGCGCGCGCGCACACACACACACACACACACACACACACACACTCATGCCAATGACAATAACGACAAAGCACAATAGTAACTGTCACTGGATTTGTGGGAATATGTCCTTAAGTATTTGGTAGCTCCTCACTGCCCTCCAGCCCAATTCCAGCTTCCTCCCTGAGACCTTTTTTATGGACGTTCCTGGTTCAAAGGCCTGAGGTACAGGGTGTTGGATGCAGACGTGATGGCAATGCCTGCTGGGGCAGCGGCAGGGGTGGGGGTGGAGCAGGGCTGTGTCCTCCTGGAAAGGACACTGGGGGCAGGGCAGGCTCTGGGGAGGTGGTGCCTAACTGTGGGACAGGAACCTTTTAGCTGAAGGGAGGAAGTGAGAAGGGGTGGGGCTGAACTTGAGAGGGGTTCTGTGGTAGGACGAGGTAGGAAGACCAGGGCAAGGATTTTAGTCCCATAGACGGGAATGGGTGTAGGGACCAGTGGCAGTGGTATACGTATAGTGGTGTATGGAGCATCAGAACTGGTCCTGAGAAGGGACTGAAAAAAATTCCAGATACCCCTTTTTGTCAAGGTTTCTGTTGCTGTGATGAAACACCATGACCGAGAGCAAGCGGGGGAGGAAAGGGTTATTAGCTTACACTTCCACATCGCTGTTCGCGGTTCACGGAGGGGTGCTGCTTACTGGCTTGTTCCCCACGGCTTGCTCTGCCTGCCTGCTTTTTTTTTTTTTTTAATGGAACCCAGAACCAATAGCCCGGGAATGGCACCACCCACAATGGGCTGGGCTTTCTCACACCTAGCATTGATTAAGAAAATTCTCTACTGGCTTTTGTACAGTCAAACCTTTCGGAGGCATATTTTTCTCAGTGAGGTTCCCTCTGCTCAATGACTTTAGTTCATGTCAAGTTGACAGAACCAGCTAGCACACCACCTCTAAGGCAGCCGAGGCTCTGTCTTCTCTGGGGAATCCCCAAGTATTTGAATTTTGAGAACACAGAATAATCATAAGGAAAGCATACCCGCTGCAGATGTAGAAGCGTGGACACTGGGTAGTCTCAGGAGCCTGTGGCTGATTCTCACTCATGGCTGAGAAGATATCCCTTGTTTATTGGATCACCTCCGAGACCATGCATGGCCATCAGTCAAAGCACAGCGCCAAACAGGCAGCCCGGCTGAGAGGTGTTACCATTAAAACCTATTTCACTTAATGCTAAAAAAACTTGTGGGCCAAGTTCCCAGGCAAAATGTATACATTGCCCTCTGTTGGGGTATAGCTGCATTCTGAAACCTCAGAGGACACTTGGTGTTGATAGAGCAGGTAGACACTGGGGCCACTCTTGGGTCTTTATAAACCTTAACAGGTGACTTTTAGGAGTGAGCAGCTGGAGGCTTCCTTACACTGCAGTGTGACCCCTACTTCAGTCCACTGAGAGCTCATTAGACGGTTGTGGGGGGCAGGGTAAAGGAGCCTGCTCACCCAGGCTGACTACCTGAATTTGATTCCTGGAACCCAAATAAAGGTGACTGGCTTCACAGAGCTGTCTTCTGACTTTTACAGAAAGCCGTGGCATGCCCTTGTTCACACGCATAGCACACACACACACACAATGATAATAATAAATAAAAATTTAAGAAAACGGGAGGCAGAGGCAGGCGGATCTCTGTGAGTTCGAGACCAGCCTGGTCTACAAGAGCTAGTTCCAGGACAGGCTCCAAAACCACAGAGAAACCCTGTCTCAAAAAAAAAAAAAAAAAAAAAAAAAAAAACCAAGAAGAAAGACAGCCCTTTTAAAGGTCCGGGACTGTTAATACCCCAGGTTTCAGCTTGGGAATTGAGGAGGAAGGTGGCGCTGTCTATTAAACCCCAGGAGGAGGAGTGGGATTGGAGTCCCATGATCAGTAAGGTCTGGGCACCACACAGAGGTCCAGGGTAGGGGTGGAGGCTGTATGTAAGAGAAGTTGCTACCAAGTCGCCCAGTACCACCTTGCTGGAGTCCTTCAACCCTTTACAGGCGCTGTGAATGCACTTCACCCAGCATTCTCTCATCTCATGGTTCCACAGGTCCACTGGCGACCTTTCCAAACCCAATTCAATGTGCCTACTGCTCCCTGTTGCCCTCCCCGAACGGGCCTCTGGTGGGCCACGGTTCCCTGCCCGATGGCGTCCATCTTCCTCGGTTAATCCCTGCCTTCCAGCAAGTACTACTCCATAGAGAGAAGCCTTTTCTCACCGCACCGCTCGCTGGGTTTCTAGCCACCAGAAGGAATTCAAAGATTAGATCAGCCCCTGGAGCTGCTGGGGCTGGAATCCGGGACCTGGAGTGAGCTGGGCACCCTCCTACTGGGCTACATCTCAAGCCCATGCAAAGTAAGTCTACAAACGGACCCGGAGGACACGCTAATTGGCTTCTGGATCCTCGACGCCTCGCACTTAGTAGGAGCGGAATAAGTTTTCTGAAAGAATAAACGGGTGCGGTTTTACAAAGCCTTGGTTCTGCGAGCCTCCCGGGCCTCAGTTTCCCCAGGTTGTGGGCAAGCTGGGCCTCGGATGTGTGGCCAGGGCTGGACTACTGCAGCCTTCGCGGGGGCGCGCGCGGGTAGACGTGACCGCGCGGAGGGGCCCGCCCCAGGCCGGCCACCGGCGCATGCGCATCACTGCCTGCGTGCTGCGGGCCGGGCGGACGCGGGGGCGGGGGCGGACGCGGGAGGGAGGCAGGAGGAGGGGCGGGCCCGGCGCGGCTGCCCGGCCGGCTGCTGGAGGCCCGGGGCCGGGCCCGCGCCGCGATGGCCCTGGTGACCCTGCAGCGCTCTCCCACGCCCAGCGCCGCATCGTCCTCCGCCAGCAACAGCGAGGTGAGCCCGGCCGCGCCCTCCCGCAAGGTGTGAAGCGGAGGCGCGTCCGCCCTTGGGGTGCGGGAGTCTTGCATCCTGGTAACTGAGCATGCGCGAGGTCGGGGTCGCGCGGGGGGCGGGAGGGCGGCGGATGCTGCTAGCGCTCCAGGCACCGGGAAAGGCTGTAGGTTCCCGGTCCCAGGGTGGGCTCCAGGCCTGGGTTCTATGCTGCTGAGAGTCGGGGTGGATGGAGACCGTCGCGCCCCGGTCCCCAGGACGGCCTGCCCTAGAGTGCACTGCCCCAGCCCGTTCCCACAACCCCCGCCATGAGCCTAAGGCCTCTGAGTAAACCCCCCCGAAGACCTAGACTGCTGCAAGGGACGGCCCGCTGTGCTTGGACTAGCCACGCAGGCCCAGGAAGTTGCTTCTGGAATCTGGGCCCTGTCCCCTGGTTGTGTGTGCCTGCATGAACCTCTGGCTCAACAGCCCTGTGTCCCCGCGTTGTTGCGGTTTGGTCTCGTCTTGCCGGGACTGGCAGGCAGATTTGCTGAGCGACTGTGAGGTTAAGCCTCCAGGGTCCCTTCTGTCTGAGGCTCTTGAGTTTTATCTACAGGCTGAAGGTTCTGGTTGCCTCTTTTCTTTTCTTTCTTTCTTTCTTTTTTTTTTTTTTTTCCCACAATTAGGCAGGGCAACTGAGAAGTTAGATTGTAGTAGCTCGGTTCTCCTACATCAGTTTACAGAGTACTCATGTTCTTTCTACAGAACTTCTGGAACGTAGGGAAGAGTGTGGCTCAGAGGGACTGTACAGGCCTTTGCAGTCTAAATTTCTCTTCCTTCCTCTCTCCCTCCTTCTGTCTCACCACGGAGCTCTGGTTGGCCTGATACTAGATAGACAAACCTGGACCCAAACTTGGCATTGGCCGCATGCCTTTGCTGCCCAGGTGCTGGCATTTTAGACGTGCCCTCCACACTTGGCTTTCAGCCTGGATTTCTGACCAACTTCCATATTGTTTTTGGTAACTTAACACCTGATCACTTCCTGTTCCTGCTGTAGACACGTTTTTAGATTTTAAATCTTTTTTTTTTTTTTTTTTTTTAGTTGAGATGTAATTCACAGCTTGTGAATTTACTTTTGGGAAGTAAATTCAGTTTAGTTGACTCAGACCATGCCCCATCACCGCTAAGTTCAGAAGCTATCAGTACCCCACCCTCCTGGGTCAGCGCCCCCACTCCAGGAAGCCCCTCCTCTACTTTCTCTACCTTTGCCCCTTTGGTGTATGGAGTGTTGCCTTTGTCTCGCCTTTCTCAGCACAGTGGTTTCAGGGTTTACTCAGGTTGTGTCATGTGTTCGTATATCATTTCATGAGTGAACAATCCGTTACATGAAGGGAAAAGTTTTTCTGGAAATTTATTAGCACATTATCATTGTTTTATTATTTTTTTAGTGCTAAGTGTTGAACCAGGGTCCTGTGTGTTCCAGCTACTGTACTACATCCTCAGACCATGTTTTGTTTTAAAAAAAAAATGTTTTATTTTAAATTGTGTGTGTGTGTCTGTCTGTCTGTCTTAATGTGCACCTGAGTGCAGATGCCCACAGAGACCAGAAGAGGTCTTTGGATCCTGTGGAGCTTTGCTACAGGGGTTTGTGAACTGTAATTACCTAATTCAGTTTTAGTAGATACAAGATCATGCCCCATTACCTCTTAAGTCCCGAAGCTGTCAGCAGCCACCCTCCTGGGTCACCACCTTTAGGGGCCTTTGCCCCTCATTCAGGAGGCCCCTCATCCGAGCTGTGTGGGGAGAGAGTCTCTACTACAATCTACAGTTATTGATGGGGCTGCTGGCATCTGATTTTAGGTCCTCTAGAAGAGCAGGGCCTCTTTTAACTGCTGAGCTGATTGCAGCTCTGTCTCAGCCTACAAATTAAGTTATTATAGACTTTCTCTTTGTATGCCTGTCTGTCCTGGAACTAGCTCTGTAGACCAGGCTGGCCTCAAACCCACAGAGAGATCCACCTGCCTCTGCCTCCCGAGTGCTGGGATTAAAGTTGTCTGCTACCACTGCCTAACTATACAGGGCAGCTTTTTAAAACCAAGTTCCGATGACCAGTTAACAAAGCTCAGCCAGAGGCTGGGGAATGTCAAATGCTGAAAATGTGAGAAAGAGTCCAGAGGTCCAGAGCCAGTGCACCCCAGGGATGTGAAAGGTAGAGACAGGAAACCCCCAGAACAGGCTCCATGGCCAGGCTAGTGAGACTAAGAATCCGTTCAGTGAGAAGACCCTGACTCAATGTGGAAGACACCAACATTGTCTCCAGCATCCACACACAGTACACATACCTGTATACACACATACATTGCACTCACACACACGTGAACGCATACCACTCACACACACAAGTACACACACACAAGCAGAAAATGATCCAAACAACCCTAAAGTCCCAGCCGGCTTTTTGTTAACTTTAGTGTGTGCTGCATTTGTCTCCTGTGATGTAGAAGAGCCTGGGTTGTTCCTGGGTAGCAAGGCTCCCTTCCAGATGTGCAGAAGCCGGAAGCAAGGCAGGGAAGTAGCAGGTGAGCCTTGAATTGGGAGACCTGGGTCCAGATTGGCTGTGACTCTGGCCTGCCCTTCCTCCACTTGGCTCCTTCTGTCTCAGTCAGCTCGTCTGAGAGGCCTGGATTGCATCTTAAGGATCGTGGTCTTCGCTGGCTCTTCTCTGGCATTCCTGACCTTATGTCACCTTTCAGTGGAAGACCTCAGAGGGTAACTGAGAAATAAATGGCTGTGGATCCTCTAACCCCCCCCCCCCCCCCCCCATCGCCATCACTTATCAGAATGCCACTTGTGAGTCAGGGACATAGTAGTTTCCTGACCCAGCAAGGCTAGCCGTGAAGCCTGGGAAACCAAGGGAAATCACAGCCCTTGGCTTTACAGCTATCCTGTCCTCTCATTTTGTCTTTCCCCACCGTTCCTTCCTTCTGGATCTTTAATTATCTATGCTTGTAGTTTCCCTGTTAACCTTATCTGAACTCCTTTGTGAGAACAAGGCGAGCTGAGGAATAGCTGCAGCAGCCTTCCTGGAGTGTTTTTGATGAATGTGCAGGGTTCCTCTTTCCTTCTCCCCCCCCCCTCCCCCCCAGGCGGAGGCAGGCCTCCAGACACTAGGGCTGGGCCAGGGTTTCTCAAGCCTCCGTGCTGACACTAACACTCAGGGCCAGAGCCTTCTCATTTCGCAGCATCCTGTGTTCCCCCCACAAGATGCCAGCAGCACCCTCCAAAAACGCCTGGGTGGCCCCTGGTGAACAAATGCTTATATGTGTTGTTTGCTGCTCGTTTGCTTCCCTCTGCCCCTGTGGTGTGTGAGCCTTCCCTCGTTTCTTCTTCTCCCTTACAGCCCAGGAGCTAATGTGGTCCATTCCCAGTGTGTGTATCTGTAAAGTCGTACACAGAATCTTCATATAAGGCGGATGCCGGGGTCTTATGGTATACTCATTCTTGGTTGAAGTTGCCACCTCTTGCTGTATATCCAGGAATGCCCATTTTCCTTTCTACCTTAGCTCTAGACCCGATTCCTGTTGTCCTTGGCCGCCGGCTGGATCATCTGTCCGTCCGCGGTCAGCCTTCTGTCAGTCCTGACCATCACTAGCTCCCAGGTTCTCTTCCACTCAGTGGATGCCTGAAGAACACAAGTCCCTCTGGGGCAGCCAGTTTTATGTTTTCTCCCAAAAAGAAGTAGTGACGGGGTTAGGGGATGAATTTAGAGTTCAGTGCCTGGCCACCTTCTGTAGAATAGCCTTTTTTGGACAGGCCTCACTGCTAGGTTGTCAGAGCTGCTCTTAAATTCCTAGCTCAAGCAGTGCCCCTGCCTCAGCCTGTTTATTAGCTAGGAGGACAGGTGTGTGGCCCCACTTTGGAATGGGTTTTTAAGCTGGACTTACTAGTGCCTGGCTTGACAGAGAATTAGACTTCCCTAAAGCATTGCCCTGTTTCCCTTAAGAGCAAAACCAAAATAAGACTCAAGAGGCAAGTGTGTCAGAGAGCTGAGGGCTGAAAGCATGTGTTGGGTGGCAGAGCCTCAGGTTCAGTCAGGGAACTGGCAAGAATGGGGGTAAGCATTCGGAGAATGGCGGTAAGCATTCAGAGAATGGGGTTAAGCATTCGGGAACCTGCAAACGTGGTGGGAATGACTCAGGGGCTACACATCAGGTTGGCAAGGAGAGGGCAGGGTGTGACGAACACGCCAGCCTCCTTCCTGGATGCCTTTATCTTTTCCCGGCCCCCCGGGGAAGCCTGCTGTCAGGGCCAATAGCAGCGTCTGTAGGGTTACATTCTCTTTCTCTCCGCAGTTGGAGGCTGGCAGCGATGAGGAACGGAAGTTGAACCTCAGGTGAGCCCACTTGTGTTTGTTCTTAGGTCTCGCAGACAGGTAAGGAGCAGTGTTGCTGCACTTGAAAAATCTGATGCTTTACCTGTGTGAAAGTGTCCTAATGGAAGCTGGGAACGGTGCTGGGCAATGGTGCTGCATGCTTGTAATCTCACCCCTCAGGAGGGATGTGCATCTCTGAGTTCGAGGCTAGCCAAGGCTACATGGTGAGCTACTACTGTATGAGTTACTGCTTGTAGTGCACACCTCGAATTCCAGCAGTTGATGAAAGCAGGAGGTTTGCAGGTTGAAGGCCAGCTTGGGCTGCATAGTGAGAACTTGCCTGAAAAAAAAAAAAAAAAAAAAAAAGAAGGGAAGCAGCTTGGACTTATGTAGTAAGACCCCTATCTTTTTTTTTGTTGTTGTTTTGTTTTTCGAGACAGGGTTTCTCTGCGGCTTTGGAGCCTGTCCTGGAACTAGCTCTGTAGACCAGGCTGGTCTCGAACTCACAGAGATCCACCTGCCTCTGCCTCCCGAGTGCTGGGATTAAAGGTGTGCCCCACCATCGCCCAGCCTAAGACCCCTATCTTTAAAAAAATAAAAAGCTGGGGATGTGGCTCAGCGACAAAGCCCTTGCCTATTGTTCACAAGGCTGTGGGTCCATAGCAGCACTGCAATAAATGAAAAAGTTAAGTAAGAAAACATACGTGTTCAGCTACTCACTGCTTCAGGTGGGAGCAAGTGCTAGTGATGAAGCACAGGGCCCCAAGCATGCTAAGCAAATACTCTGCTGCTAAACGACACTCCAGCTCCGTAACTGCTTAGCTTATCCTTTGGAAAAGGAGGCAAATAGCTCCTTTTTCTGTGCTCTACTTCATTTTCTTTTTGTTGTTGATGTTTTGTGTGTGTGTGTGTGTGTGTGTGTGTGTGTGTGTGTGTGTGTGAGAGAGAGAGAGAGAGAGAGAGAGAGAGAGAGAGAGAGAGAACAACTTGCAACAATCAGTTTTCTCCTCCCTGTGGGTCCCAGGGATAGAATTCCGGCCCTCAGGCTTGGCAGCAAGCACATTTGCTGCCCCGCCCCCTTCAGCCCCTGATACATTTTCTTGCAGAAGTTCCTGTTTGTGTTTGATAATCACTGCACAATGCCCTCTGCTTTTCATCCTGCTTTCGACAAGCTGCTACTTTTGAAGTCACAGCATGGTTTCTTGGAAGTAGATACTCAACTTACTCCATCAGTTCATGTGAGGTGGGCTTGTTCTGTGAGATTGTGACCCACCTATAACCGTGCTCACTTAGAATGTTCCTGAGACCTGGAGAAGGCTCAGCGGTTAAGAGCACTGGCTGCTCTTGCAGAGTACCTGAGTTTGGTTCCCAGGACCAACGTGGACATTCACAGCCCCTTGTAACTCCAGTTCCTGGGGATCTGACTCCCTCTCTGGCCTCAGGCACCAGGCATGCATGGGTGCTTAGGGATACATGCAGGCAAAATTCCCAGACACATAAAATAATAGTATATTTTAAAAAATTAACTGGGTGGTGGTGGCACATATCTTTAATTCCAGCACTCACAAGGCAGAGGCAGGCAGATCTCCGTGAGGTCGAGGTCAGCCTGGTCTACAGAGCAAGTTCAGGACTGGCTCCATAGTTACTGAGAAACCGTGTCTCAAATAAATAAATGAATAAATAAATAAATATTCCCTTAAGATGTTACTGTATTCACTCAGGGACACCAAAGTCACCTTACTTTTCTTTGCCAGAGCTGCTGGGTCCCTTCTCTTTGTCCACCTGAAGTCTGAACAATTGCTGAATATAAATATGTTAATGCAGTACACAAACTTTCAGATATTTTTCTTTTTTACAAACTTTTATTAATTTAAAGATTTGTTTATTTTATGTGTATGAGTGTTTTGTGTGCACGTATATATATACCACATTCATGCCTGTGTTGTGAGCCACCATGTGGGTGCTGGGAACTGAACCTGGGGTCATCCTCAGGGGCAACAGATGCTCTCAATGACTGAGCCAGCCCCTCAAGGGATATTCTTTCCAAAGAAAAGTCTGTTTTATTGTGGGAGAATCAAGATCAGTAATTGTAAAGGAAGGAAGGGTCTGAAATGGTACTCGGTGCTGTTGGGTACTGTGCTCCGGTGTTCTGCTTACACTCTTACAGAAGTGCTAGAAATACATCCCGTCTGTCTTTGGTCTTCGTAAGTTTGAGTGAAGGGAGGAAGTTTTCCCCTTTGACCAGGCCTGTGTTATTTGTGAGCGTGACACATGTGGGAAACCCTGTTCTGTAGGAATCAACGTGATAGCTACAGCAGTTGCCAGAGCCTTGTGGCCATGTTATGCTGGATGTAGGACAAATTGACTCTTCCACCCTTGGTTTTGGGCAGCTTATGACCCAAAACTTCCAAGGCTGGAGAAGCTGACTACTGGGGGCAGTAATGGGCTGCTTTTTGCTACATAATGTCTGTGTGTAGGAGGGCCTGTGGAATCTGGATGTTGGGTGCAGGCCCGGACTGGGAGGAGAGCTCCTTGAGGGTGGTGGGGCCCCAGAGCCTCTGCAGCTTCCTGTGCCTTCCTGCAACTCTTCCCTTGGGTCAGAATTCCTTCTACCCTCCACCCATCCCTTCCTCTCTGGGCACTGAGCCAGAGAGAACATTGAACTAGCTTTGTCTTTAATTGCCCTTAATTAGCAGAATGCATAATGCTTGAAGATGTTTGTAGCCAAGAACTTAGAAGGAGCCGTGATAAGAAGCTGCGTCTGTGGTCCTTTCTTACTAATAAAAGGGAAAACGGCTTGGTGTGGAGCTTTCGGGAACCTGACAGGAGATGGAGTTGGTGTCTTAGTGGACAGTGACATCTCTAGATTCCAAGTGATGGATCCCAAGCTCAAGTTCTGTGCTTAAAATATTCTGCAAAGTCAGGTGTCTGTGGCATGACTGTGCAAGCTTGTCACCCCAGTTCTCTAGAGGCTGCGGCAGGAAGATCTCTGGTGCCTGCAGAGTTCAGGGGAAGCCAGGGTTACATCACAAGACCAGCTTAGAAACAGACACACATGCGTGCACGCACACACAGGCACCCGAGGCCCTCTGGCTGTCCAGGTGAGTCAGTTCTTTTGGACCCACAGGTGAAGGAACTGACTGAAGAACTTAAGGCAGCTCCAGAACCAGAACCCAGAACTCCCCTTGGCTTCATTCCAGCTCCTGGAATGTCACCCATCCAGGCAGAGCTGGGCCCTTTGCACAACAGGATTCCAAAGCCACTGTGGCCCCAGGGAGAGCCTTAAACTGGAGTGGGGTCCTGGGTTTTCTTGAAGGAGAGGGGTTGCTGGTCGACTTCTGTGTGTCCTTAGCCTTCCTTTTCGTCTTCTTGACTCACCTTGATAGTTTACCCCCACTTTTCAGGCAAAGGACACCATCCTGCTTTCTAACAAGGAAGTTCTGTGTCTAGGTTTGACCTTTGACAGCTGTTCTTTCAGATACTGCTCACTCCCGTTTCAGATCTCTGCTCTGTCTCCTAGAAAACAAAACAAACGTGGAATGGTGGACCGGCCAGGTGGTTTTGTTTGAGGCAGAAGAGTGGAGGAGAGATTTCTCTTTGCTTTGGATTGGCCCAGAATGGTAAACAGCCATTATTCACTATGCAAGGTTGAGGGAAAGATTGAACCCTGCCATGTAGGGTGGGCGGGCTCCCTTAGCTCTCTTCTGTCTGCCTCGGGTTCTGCATACAGGTGTCAACAACAATGGATTGAAGGTTTAAATGTTACAATGTTGCTGGCATGTACTTAGTCCTAAAGTCTTGCCAGGGTGCAGAGTTTTTTTTTTTTTTTAAACTCATTCACTAGGCAATCCAGTGTAGCAACTGTTTACCCTTATTTACATTGTAGTACAGATTGCCAGAGTATGCACACCTGCATGCTTGTTTTCACGGGAGGAATCCCCCATCCTATAGATACAGTGTGTGCACACCTGCATGTTTGTTTTCACGGGAGGAATCCCCCATCCTAAGGTACAGAGTGCATTCCTGCATGTCTATTTTCACAGGAGGAATCCCCCATCCTGTAGATACAGAGTGTGCACTCCTGCATTTTGTTTTCACGGGAGGACTCCCCCATCCTTATAGATACCGAGGGGCAGCTGTGATGGTGTGCACTTCAAGGTCATGTAAGAGATTAGATTGGCTCGTCTATTTGCCTTACTGAATCCCAGTCAGTCTTCTGGGTCTCCCTGACTCCTCCTTCCCATGTCTCTTGGGTAGTGCCATTCTCTCTCCCAGTCCCCCACATCACTGTGTTCTGCATGTCTTTCCTCGTACTGCCCACATCCTGTATTTTGGGTCCCTGAGCTGATCCCCTAAGCTGTGTCTTTGACAGTAGGCTACATTTCTCAGTTCCTGCATTTAAAAAGTACTTTCATCTCACATGTGACTTCTCTGGTCCCAGAGAGAGCAGGTAGCCATCCTCTCGTCTTTCTGTGATGGAAGCTGCCCCCCTGCCACTCCTGTTGCAGCTCTCTGTGGTTTTTGTCACATCTCTTTCCACACATGGTGTTTGTGTAGTTGAAGGGGATGAAGATTGGGCTTTGTAGTTACTATAAACATGAGAGGTAGCAGGTTGTGGGTGATGAGCATGTGAGGGCCTAAGTCAGGTGAGTCTGTGTAGATCCCAGCCCCCCACTGTACCAAGCTCTTTACCCTGAGAAGTCCTGGCCTTTGCCTCTGTGGGGCTCATGTGTGGACTGGAAAACAGCCTCCTGGAACTGGTTAGTAGCTGGTGGAGAGTTCCTATGTGAGATCAGATGTGTGCTTGTTGGTTATGTGTAACCTTAATATCTTTATCGGGTGTGGCTGCGGGCACAGGAAAATGGTCACCAAGGTGTCCTGGCTACATTTCCTGTGGGATGCTGGGGCTTCTGGGGTCTGACTCTGGCAGCTTCTCTGAATACCTTTGGAAGGTCATCAGGCATTGAGACAAGGAAGATGATTCCTTGTGGTGGTCCCCAACCCCATAGTGACCCCCTGGC